TTTTTTGAATTTTTGAACTAATACTTAGTAAAACTCTCCGAACATGATTGTAAATAATGCAATTGACTGAACAGTATAATTACCAATCTTGATATCTCCGCTAGCAAAATTTTGTACGTCATTGAATTGGATAAAAGAGTTTTGACATCTTATAGCATATACCTTCTTTAATCTCTTCTACCTCCGTTGTAATTGTGAAAGACAATTTGATTTCAACGTTCACATTTCGATACTTCCCGTTGACAGGTCTTACGTTTCCATTTCGTATAATGTAAGATTTTCCCTTTTCAATTACATCATTAAATTTTTGAATTGCATCATTGAATAGCATGGCTTGAATTTTATATCCCTGTAGAGAAATAAAATACTATGTTACTTCTAATATACAAAATTGAATAAACTCGAACATGAATATACCACATAATCATCATTCCATTACCATAAAAACTAAATTAAAAAAATCCATTGTATAATAAATATTTGGACCATATCAAGAGCAAATATTCATTCACCATAACCTAAGTTATAAGATTAGTAGGATAAAAGATCTTTCCTAACAGTTGTCGTGAATACGATTGGGTGCAGGAAGTTAATGGGAATGAGGTTCAAATTCAACTTACCATTTTAATGGAAAGAAATACTGGGAAGTTTATGAAAGAGCTTTGGTCGCTACTTCTGAGTGCACAGAAAAATGTGAGTGGTGTTCCACAGTAGTTTCTGGATGCTAAAGAGGAGGAAACTAAGAAAAAGAAGGTCTACTCATGCTTCCATAAGTTTTTGGGTCTTCTATATCCATGGTGTGTCTTTGTCTAATGATATGTCCACGGCTTGTTGTAGGCAGAGACTGATCATATCACAAANAAAAATCTCAATTCGATATCGTATTAAGAGGGATCGACGTTGAGCAGGTTTTGTATATCATGATACATTTTCGTAAAACGATGTTCTCGAAGATAATCAAAATTCTAGTAACCCCATCTTCTTTACTCTTCCATTTCCATTCTCATTGACCATTTTCATTCCTTTGAAATTCACTAAAGTAACAAATCGGGAGACATGCTAATGCCATATTTGCACTATGAATCAAAATATTAGATAAAAAAGTTAGATTAAATATAAGGAATTAATCAGAGAGAGAGCGAGAGAGCGATCAGACCGTCTGTCAAGGGATGGAAGGGCCGTTAGCCCTAATATTATTCCCCATTTTTTTATAAAATTATTTACGTATGCTATAACATTTGTCGAAATAAAATTTAACGATTCAAAAAATATATTAATTTAACGAAAACGAAATTAAATGTATGTAAATATACTTAACGGTTCGAAGTGTTGGATATAAACGAAATATTTTTGTTAGCGTTTGATAAATTTATGAGATTTTAAGGTTGAAACAGGTGAAAAATGAAAGAGTTTTTAACTATGTTGGAGTAAACACATAAAGAAAGTGGCTTAATTTTGAAATTTTAAGTGAGAAGTGTTTGATTATTACTTTGTAACTTAAAGGGTATTCTTGTCTTTTAATCAACAAAAGGTCATTGTGATGAATGGCAAATATATTTGGCTGGTGTGGAAGTGGTTGTTTGACCAATTATTACTAAAAGGACCCCATTAGCGTTTTGGGGCTGTCACAAGAGGCTTAATATCAATCTTTTGTTGCAACCATTCTAACGTGTGTCTTTGTCTAATGATATGTCCACGGCTTGTGGCAGGCAGAGACTGATCATATCACAAATGAAATTCAAAGGAAGAAAGAGAAGGAGAAGCAGGATCTCGAGCAAGAGATAGGTAAAATGATAATTGAAAATCTTTTTATGCAAAGTTAGATTATATATATCTCAAATTTTGTTCCTTCCTTTTATGCTTCATTTTGTTCAGCTTGCTCCTGTTTCTGCAATTTTTTTGTTCATGTACTTTACTTCAAACTGCTGTAGGATGGTGAATATTTATGCCATTAAAGAATTTGGACCTCGAAGATGAATTCAGAAATATTAAATATAAGGGTTATCGTGGTAGATATATTACCTCCTTGTCAATTAGGATGAGTTTCAAAAGATCAAATTTTCCATTGCTGTTGGAATAAGATTCGACCAAACCTTTTCGAACAACAGTCACTTCAATGGACTATTCATTTTCATACGCCGTTAATCTCTTATAGCTTTTGATTCCATGATGTGCGAGAGCTAAATAGTTGATGCTTGAAATGTAACAAAAAGCAATTTGTGAAAACAATTTAAATAGTTGAGAGGCGAATTCATTTTAAATCTACAACTCATGAGAACAATCAAATAAATTCATGAACATGAAATTTGATTAATTTGAAGCAATGAATGTAGAAATAGAATAATTTCTGGACCAAATGGTGTGTATGTGACTTTGGTTATATAATTTGTGCTTGCATGCATTTATTTAGGTAAATGCATTCAATTAATCGGATTTGGATCGTAGCTTTTATTCCTTTTTTTTTCTTATTTGACGAATAAATTGAAGGAGAAAGTAAAAATGTGGAGTTCAGGTTTTTTATTGGGAAAGGTGGAGAAAAGGATTCCAAAATACATTATTTAAAATGCATTTACATGTATAGGGACTTCATTCCCTACAGAGGATGGCATATTCCAGATTTGTGGTGCATTAATTCACCAATCGTTGAACGAAAATTAGGAAATTAATCACATTTCGTCATTCACTGGTAATGTCTTTTCAGTGTTATTTATTTAATTTCAATATTATGAGTAGCTAAATAATTTTAGCTCTATAATTACAATAAAATTTATATCATGAACTTTGAATATTTGAATTTTATTTATTTTTGACATTGAAATCGCGTTTTAAATTTTTGAATGATTGACAGGGATTTAATTTTCTCTACAATTATATGTGCAATAATTATATGAACATTGTGGCTTGTTTTACCTTTGAAAGGTTGAAAATAATTAAGACATAGTATCAACTGTCGTAGATTTCGATGGGGGATAGAAATATACAGCTATATTTTACACGATCTTTAAACTTTCATAAATGCTTAATACATTTTTATATGTTCATATCCGTCACAGAAATATAGTCGGGGCATATATAAGGATATGTTTAATTCTACAAACAATTTAGGAATATTGATCTTTATAATTGAATCGTGTTTTCAAATTATAAGGTTTGGGTATTAAAAGGAATTGATATAAGGGGATTCGGGATCCTACTATGCTTTTAATTATTATATTTTTATAAAACTTGAATTTATTTAAAATCTTGCATTTATTTCAGTTAAGTTAGGTCATGCATTCATAAGTAGAGTATTAGATCACAATTTAATTTTTAAAAAAATCACAAATTTAAATTGTTTCGATTAAGGCTAAAGTAATTCGAATATGAACGGTACAATATCTGTGGAAACGATATTTGAACTCAAAATCAATTTTAATACTTGTTAACGAATTGTGAACCTGCCACTACACCAAAACTAGCCTTTTGCAACACGCAGAAGGCAACATTTGTTGATTAAATGTTGATAAAGGGGTCTATCGCAACATTTTAGCAAGTGAATGTTGCTATTGACTAACATAATTGAGCTTTCACAACTTTTTTTAAATAAATGTTTCTAATGTCGCATTTTGCAACGTTGTATAAATGCATCAAAAAGTTTAAGTTTTTACTTTTTACAATATTTTTTGAATATTGTTGAAATCTGGTTCTATAGCAACTTTTAGTTACCATTACGAAAAGTTCACTTTTTGCAACTTTTTTGAACGTTGCGAAACGTTCACTTTTGGCAACATTTTCTAAACATTACGAAAAGTTTTTTATTTTTTTCCCAAATTAAATTATATATGGGCTCAAATGATAAAAACCAAAAATAACCCAAACCCTAGACTAATTCACCCCTCCTTCATGTTGACCTATAGTTGATTTCATTCTTAATGTTTTGATCATAGCAAACAAGATTAATATTGTTTCTAGCAATTGAATTTGAGTAATGATAGTTCAATATTAAAATCAATCACGAAATGAATATCCAAGTGGAAGTTAAGCATTCAAGTCAAATCATTCGAGACGAGAACTTAAAAGACAAACGTCAAGAACAAGCAAGATCAAGAGCATGAGAGACAACATCGAAGAAAGATCAAGACGACAAGTCTAAGAGGCAAACTTCGAAACAAGATCAAAAACTAGACTTCTTAATTCAAATATGAAGGTATTAATACTTTGATATTTAGTAATAAATGATAAAAGTTAAAAAATCGTTTTACGAACGAAAAGATTATTTTACAAAAACACTTGCATAAAAAATTATTTTTCAAAGGTTTTCAACTTAATATTTTGAACTTTTTTTACCGTGTTACTTACTCCTTCAAAAACCTTTTAAAAAAAAAAAAGTCAAAGTCAAAGTCAACCGGATGTCTGGTTCGCCAACGATCATTTTTTTTTATCGTTCTGATTTCTAACGCATAACGGCTAGTTTAGTCGTCCAGTTCAGTGGCAGATGTTCGGTAGGGTCGTCCGGTTGGACAAAAACTTTGGACGTTTTGACTGTTATAAATACAACTTTACTATGCATTCATAAACAATTAGAAGAATGTTTTCTTTAAAAATATATTTGAAAAATCCTCTTTGAGCTTACATTTTTACATTTATTTCATTTACTTTTTCATAGCAAAAATATTAATTGTTGAATCAAATTTCTTGAATTATTTCTCTTATCAAAAATTTTCATCTCTCTTTTGTACTTAATTTACTTTTATCAATTTTAAAAGAAAGATATATTTTTGAATAAGATCTTTACATCTAGTTTGCATAAACATTTCTACTTTTTCATATTTAAAACTTTGATTAATTTAATCAAATTTGAAAAATCATCATATTTATCGAAATTTTTAACTTCTCTTTTATTACTTAATTTATCACAAATTATTCATTGAAAGAGAAATATATCTTTTAAAAAGATTTTTGCACTAACATTGCATAAACATTTCTTCTTTTTCATATTGAAACTTTGATTGATCGAACTAAACTTGTAAAATCATCATATTTATCAAAGTTTCTTATTTTTCTCTTAATACTTAATTTATTACAATCATCAATTAAAAAATGGATATTTCTTGAGAAAATTTTTGAACCTATATTGTATTTTTTTTCTTTCATCTTCTCATTGAAACACTTTGATTGATTGAATCTAATTTTTGACTACAATATTCATCAAAGTTTTTCATCTAACACTTGAGTTATCATTTATTATTTTTCATTGAAGTGTTAGCATCTCTTTGTACTTAACTTGTTTGTATTTTTTATCAAGAGATGTATTCCATTGTAAAATTACTTTGATAAAGTGTGGGTCTTGTTGAAGTCACTTAAAGATCAACATTGTATAAGGATCAATGATCCTTATTGTAAGTCACTGTGTAGGTCATATTGAGGTCCTGTGAAATCTCAATAATGTGTTGTGTTGAGATCCTGTAAAGCTCAACATTGTATAAATATCAGTGATCCTTATTTGTAAGTCATCGAAAGCATTGTAAAGGGTTGGATAACACTATAAGTCAATCAACATAGTGAAAAGGTCTTGCTCGTGCCGAAGAGTTTGGTAACGGAGGACGTAGATCATTACTTTGGATCGTACCTCCACAATTATATCGTTTGTATCATCTCTTTTTTTTACTTATTACTTTTATATTTGTGTTTATTATTTGAATTAATTTATTTAGTCTTTACTCACTTGAATTNCTTGAGTTATCATTTATTATTATTCATTGAAGTGTTAGCATCTCTTTGTACTTAACTTGTTTGTATTTTTTATCAAGAGATGTATTCCATTGTAAAATTACTTTGATAAAGTGTGAGTCTTGTTGAAGTCACTTAAAGATCAACATTGTATAAGGATCAATGCTCCTTATTCTAAGTCATCGTGTAGGTCATATTGAGGTCCTGTGAAATCTCAATAATGTGTTGTGTTGAGATCCCGTAAAGCTCAACATTGTATAAAGATCAGTGATCCTTATTTGTAAGTCATCGAAAGCATTGTAAAGGGTTGGATAACACTATAAGTCAATCAACATAGCGAAAAGGTCTTGCTCGTGCCGAAGAGTTTGGTAACGGAGGACATAGATCATTGTTTTAAATCGTACCTCCACAATTATATCGTTTGTATCATCTCTTTTTTTTACTTATTGCTTTTATATTTGTGTTTATTATTTGAATTAATCTATTTAGTCTTTACTCACTTGAATTTAGATTAAATCTTCGAAAAGTTTTAAAAACCAATTTACCCCCACTTGTTTAGTTATTCTTGGGCTATCACTTCATGCCTCCTTCAGTTGATGATCAATTTGATGGAGTTATGTCGCACCTTCGAAACCCATAAATCTTGGCACCAAGGAAAATGGTTGTGGGATTATTCAGCCAGTGGCTTTTGGTGGAGAAAACAAGAACATAGGCAAAAGGGGTTTGAGTTTGGAAGTAAAGTTCGAGGCCACAAAGAGGAAGTTCGAGGAGATGAGTCTTGATATCAAGAAGGTGAGAAAAAAGGTACAAATTCAGGATTTTAAGGATATTTCCCGGTCCAAACCGACTGCTGATGAAAATCGATTCAAGAGAAGGGGTTTCAAGAAATCAAGTTTTAGGAGGAGGTGATGTGCTTGTTCTTAATTTTGTAGTTGGGTAATTAGCACATAACATCATCACCTTTCATGGAAAACGTGCTTACCTTTTATTTTTTGGCATTTTCACCCTTATTTCCATCTTTCATTGCACAAAATGACCTTTTCATCCATTTTCTCAAATAAAAATTGTGAAATGATAAATATACCCTTCTATTTAAATAAAACAAAAGTAAAAAAGTAAAAAACTAATGCAATCATAGTTCCAACTTTTGTAAAAAACGCAAATGAGTCCCAAATAAATTATTAAAAGGGTAATTACCACATAATGTCCCTACATTTCTCTATTATTACAAAAAACTTCCCTATCTTTTTTTTTTTTTTTTGCATTTTCACTCTTAATTATACATTTGATTACGCAAATCATTCTTTCTATCAAATTTCATCCAATTTGTCAATAAAAAACTGTGAAATGACGAATATACCCTCCTATTTAAATAAAAAAGCTAAAAAAATTAATTGCAACCATAGTCTCATTTTTTAAAAAAAGTGCTAACGTGTCCCAATTAAATTTATTTAAAAATTTAAAAAAAGTGCAAACAAATCTCAAATAAATTACTAAAGAATTAGAAAATTAAAAAATTATTTAAATAAGAGAGTATATTCATTGTTTCACAGTTTTTTATTGAGAAATTGGATGAAAATGATGGTTTACGCAATCAAATGTGTAATTAAGGGTGAAAATACAAAAAAATAAAATAAAAGGTATTGACGTTTTTCATAATAACGGTGAAAGATAGGGACATTATGTGCTAATTACCCTTTTAATAATTTATTTAGGACTCGTTTGCGCTTTTTAAAAAAAATTGGGACTATGGTTGTAATTGGTTTTTTTCTTTTTCCTTTTGTTTTATTTAAAGAGAATGATATATTCGTTATTTCATAATTTTTAATTGAGAAAATGGATGAAAATGACCTTTTGCGAAATGAAAAGTGGAAATAATGATGAAAATGCCAAAAAATGAAAAATAGAGACGTTTTGCACAATAACAATGAAAGGTGATGACGTTATGTGCTAATTACCCTTTTGTAGTTTGATGAAAATTTGAATAGGCAATGATTCTAATACTCTTGAATGTAAAGAATTATGTGGTTAGTGTTATGAAATTTCAAAAGTTCAGTTTCTGAGATTAATGTGTTCCAATCTATTGATTTTTTTCTGAACTCTTCTTTGGTTATTTTCTTTTTTTAATTAGGTTGCCTGGAAGTAGAATTATTGCAGCATATTTGGTGTTCTTGAGTATAAATTTCTATTTGACTCATTGTAAGTTAGGATTCTAAGATTCTGATGAGAAATTTCACTGCCTTTGAATTGCTTCTGAGTATTTAGATTCCTACAACATGCAAACCCCTGTTTGGAACTCTAATTGCTCTACTGCACAAGGGTAGACCGATAAGAACACCAAATATGATTTACAGTCTTCCCATGGTAGCAGTTTTCCCGATGAAGTAAAAGCCGAGGACAACTTCTATGGAGATGATGATATTCCTACCCTTGGTTCCTTTCTAGCCGGACTCAGGGAGATGGTTAAGCTTTAGAATGAAGACAAGCTCGATGATCAAGTGACAGTTCTAGAACTCTTATCTACTTTGTTCTTGTAACATTTCAATTTTCTCATTTTCATACCTTTTTCTTCCCATTAATATTTTTCTCCACCTTTTTCAAGCTTAGGATCTTAGGTTCGTATCTCACATCTAATCCAATTTGTCCGAAAGAGTAGTTGAGGCCGGTTCTTGAATTGCTCCTTTTTTGAGGATCAGTTATGACTCCAATTAGTTCTTCCTTTGATTCAGCCATTTGAACTGAAGCAATCTTCATATCCTCCTCACAAATTTTGGAATCGACATTCTTAATAGGGATTTTGTTTCCACAAACAATAGAGCTTCAATTTGTAACGTTATTTTGAGGTGCAGTGCTTGAATTATGAAGGCAAACATTACCAGCAATGTCTTTTGAAGAGATGTCCGATTACTTCATCCCACCAAACGAGGCTTTTAGCTCATTTTCTCTTTACAGATTTTATTTAATGATATTGCTGTTAAAAGAAACAAGGCATCCTTCTGCTCCTTTTTGTTAGTTGGACAATTGAAAAGTACTATAATTGTAAGGTTTTTCTTTTTCTCTTACAATAAGCATGTGTTATTTATTATTTGTGATGATGGATTTATTATTAATTGTTATTATATAAATAAATGTAAAGATTATTATGAAATGAGTTTGATATATGTAAAATAATATATGTAAATATAACAATTTATGTAGTAATTTTTTTTAAATGAAGGAAACGGCAACTTTCAATAAATGTTGCAAAAAATAAGAATATAAGTATAGACAACATTCAAAAAACATTGCAAAAAGGTTTTGGCGACATTTGAAAAACGTTGCAAAAAGGTTATTAGCAATATTCAAAAAACGTTGCAAAAAGGTATTAGCAACATTCAAAAAATATTGTTGTATCCTTATACTCTATGGCATGCCGTATCCTTATACTCTATGGCAACTTTTTGAGTAAGCTAATGATGTTCTTAGAATTATTTAAATGGATTCTACATTTTGACAGATTTTATTGAACCATACTCAATGTTTTCATTTATCGAAACTAAGGAAAACCTTATTATATATGGATTTTGTGTATAATTTTGATTTGTAATTATTATAGGTTTACAAGTAATAAAATAAATAAACAATTTTAAAAAAAATTAAATTGACATTTACGACGTTCCTTAATGCATGCCGGAAAAAGTGATATACTATCTATGGCCAGGGGTGGAGCCCAATGAGGACCAGGATGGGCACAGGCCAACCCTGAACTTCTGGGCTGAATCTCATGCCAATAATTTTTTTTTTTTTAAAAGTAATGGGCTAACTTTCAGGCCAAAAGGAGTGAAGTCTAATCCAAAAAATATTTAAAACATCAGCCTCTGCGTGAGCGTGACTGCATCTATGTCTCTAGTGCTCCACACCGCCTCAACGCCTCTGGCCCTCTGTGTCCAGCGTCTTCTCCAGGCTCTAAGCTTCAGTAGTCAGCACCGCATCACGCCAGCACCTACTGTAAGTCTGTATCTTTTTTCTTTCTCTTTGATGTATATTTTGTGTAT